GCAACTTTCCAGCAACCAGATTAATTGCTTCCATCATGCATAAAAGACACTCATCCACACAAGTTTTATTACAGAATAAAAAAATCTCCTCTCTCCAGTGAAACCTGCAATCTAAGTTTCAAACAAGTGAATTATAACAAAGTTAGTTAACAGCTTAAAATACCTACCGTATAAAGTGACTATACATTACACTCTGAAGCAATTAATTTAATCTTCCACTCTAACACCTGTGTTATTTGCAGGATCTTCAGCAGTGATATGTATCATAGGAAAAAGAGAAGCCCTGCTAAATCATTTTATTCCTGTTATCTGTGTTATATCATTTTAAAATCCACATATATGGATTAGCATGTTAGCATCAAGAAAACCACGGCAGCTGTTCTGAAGGGTATCAGAACAAGAAATGCCTAGTATACAACTAAAACAAGCTCCCCAGTAGGGGATGTGAATATGTAAAAGATCACCTCCTTCCCCACTGCAGTGATTGTGATAATGAACACCCAAATTGAGGAAGGGGTCAGCCAAAACATCCCGCTGCACACAAAGAGGCAGCTGGTGACATACCATTCAGTCACAGTACGGTTTTCTGTGACCATCTGAACCTTTTAAGGCCATGCTGTAAAATTTATCAGTAACTCAAAGCCCTAGAAAACACTCAAATCCACACCTTCTGCTCTTGGGATTACTATTAATTGCTGTGGTCACCCCACAATTCTCACAAAATTATAAATAGCTCTATTACAAGTGTTGAATAGCATCTGAAAAACAAGTATCAATTTTTTATTTTCTTCACTGCTCACAATTTTGTTACATTACATCCGTCTCTCACAAAATCAATAAAGAAACCTACTGTGGTGCTCCTTAAATCATCTGCCAGCTGTGGAACAAAGGCTGTCAGGTAATAATGCGTTTAGATTTCATTCAGTCTCAAGACTGACTCAACTTGGTGGAGCTCAGGATAATCATTCACGGATTCACACAGAATGTTAGGGGTTGGAAAGGACCTCAAAAGATCATCTAGTCCAACCTCCCTGCCACCATTCCATTCCTAATATTTATCTGCAGTAACAGATAAAAACCCACAGTTAAAGATCTTTGGAGAATAACTAGAGACATAATGACTAAGGAAATAACTAGTATGCCTTCAATAGTTTCGTTCAAAACCTCACAACTTCATTACTTCTGGTTAAAACTATAAAGAAGCATGAAGAATATTCAGTAGGTCATACTTGCATTTTAAAATTTTATTTTAAAGTTTGCAACCAGTTCTTTGAGAAGTAATAGGGAGGAGCTTGTCCTCCTTGTGCTTTTGCTGCCATCTTTGTGCAATGATGAAGATGGGACGGAGGAATAATTCATGGGTGTACACTGTGTTGAGGTCCTCAGAAAGCTTATAGGTTTGGGAACAGTCACCCAGTTTGGAAAAAGATGTCAGGCAAGAAGACTGAGGGGCTGGATGGGTCACCTTGACAGGATTCCAAGAGGGTACGAACTAGTGAAAAATAATCATGTTTCTTTAATGTAATTTTTTTTACCTCCTATTTCACCAGTAAATATCCATTCAGTATTATGGAAATACAGGCTTGGTTCTGATTAATAGGAACAAAAGAAACATGCTTTTTTTTTCGTTTTGTTTTTCTTTCACAGCTGACTGTTGCATTTAGAAAGACATCCCACCTTTGAAAGTCCTCAAGATACTGTTTGGTAAGAATTTTCAAAGGTTAAAGACTTGAGCTGACAGTAAACTATTAGCTGTGTAGAAACATCAACACCATAGTCCAGATCTTAATGGTTCAAGTGGTGATACACACAAAAAAATCTAGATTTATCGAAACAGGTATTAAACACAAGTTTATGACAGTTATGTGAGTGTTTAGATGGTTAGCCTCATGAGTTTGTCTTCTCCTTTTGTTCAACAGTGGCTGTTCCCACCATATTCTTATATGATTTCATTTTAACTTTAATCTTCAAAACCACTGTTAAAATGCGGTCCCACTGACACAGGCCAGAATTTATAATCTATGCTTATTTAACCAAACTTTCCAGTAACTGCAGCTAAAGAACTTTGACAGTTTTCAGTGATACACGCAGGAACCTTGTGAACCAAGTAACCAGTTTTTATGAATTTGAAATAAAACAAACTAGAGCAAAAGAATTTACAGATGCAAATAAAAACCATAAACCAAGATATTTTTCTTACAGATTTTATGAATCACCTCATATCTTTCAGTTTTACATGTGAACTAGTCTCTGCAATAGTTTCAAGCATTTGAGATTGTTCTTTGCATTTGCATTCTGATTAAAAAAAAAAATCTTAATACTTTTGTTTAAAGAAAAATGAACACAGTAAGTCAGTATATGGATGCATGGCCTGTCACTGTGTACTACCTGCAAGTGAATTCTGCTTGATTAAATCTCATTATTCTGAAACTTGCCCTCTGTGATAGCATCACTACTGAGAATGATCTACAGACAAGTCAATGACAGCTGAACAATGACTGTTACCCTCTGGATCATAGCTCCATTAAAGAACCATCTTAATCTATGTCAAGTGCATGAGCTCCACTTAAAAAGCTTCATACTTAAAGTGATCTGTTTTCAATCACTGTCTCAGAATTGTTGTATCGTGTTAACAGTCTTAAGGGAAAAGCAAACCAAAGAAGGCAAACTACACAATTTCTATTGAAGTATGTAATTGTTCGGAAAAACTAAAGCAAAACTGCCATGTCTCTTCAAAAACATCAGTTTAGTAACGAATGAGCAACCCAGAATATGACATTAGAGACTCCAGGTTGTGGCACATTTTTCCACAGATTAGTTGAACTGTAACCTACTTGGCCAACAATTTCAGGCAGGGATTTTATTTTTTCATGAACACATTGCTCTAATAAAGTACATGGCATTAGTTATGGCTTTTGAATTAAAATGTATTCATGACATTAAATTTTAAAATCACTAAGCCATTAATTTTGAAGAGTTTTTTTCTTCCATATAGCATTTGCAAGAATTGGCAACTAGGTGCATATTTCACCAGCATAAGAATGAGAGCTGTACTAATAAAACTTACTTTTGCAAGTCCCTGCAGAGAATGGTAATATTTTATACACTAACTGTATATCAAATGAAAGCCAAAACCAAATTAGCTGTTCTGATAAAGACTTATCTGTCAAGTATCGCGTAACAGTTCAACCTATGATCAAGGACAACTTAGCACACAACCTGCTGTCTACATTTTCTTGTGTATTCAGAAATAAAGAGGTTTACAGCATTGCAGAACAGTTCTATAAATTGTCTGTCTCAAGCACTGACTTTAATACCCATTTGTGAAACTGCCTTGCTACAAGAATTTCCAGGTAGTAGCTAAAGAGCTGAGCCTCATCAACTGAGGATGCAGATGTACAATTTCTTCAGGTACACTCCCCTTTTGTCTGCTTTGTTCAGGTTATCAATCAGAAAGCTCAAATAGTATAAATCATAGGTATTCTAGTTTTTAATATAAAATCATTACTTCAGATATATCTACTGACCCCTATAACCTTGAACTAAAGGAAATATCACCTGCAGACAATATGGGAGCCAAAGAGCAGACTTCAAACCAGTTTTTATCTTGTTTTAGCTTGTTTCATCTCATTCATCTTGTATTTATGAAACAGTCTAGAGTTATGAGACTTAAGATGTTTAATAGAAACAGCCAATTTGACATCCAATTCCTGTGCTAGTATCATTCTACTATTTGACAAACGACAGTCAGTGAAGCAGCTCAGTTTTAGTTATACGTTTTGAGTACAATTTACACACTTTATACACTTCTAAGTAGTGGATCAAATTTGTTCAGCAATAAGAATGCAGCTCACAGATGTCTGATGCCTCAGCTTTCTGGGTTCTTAGTATTGTGGGTTTTTTTATTACTCTACATTAACTTGTAGATAAATTAAGCATAACATGTCTAAAATTCCAGCTGTGTTGCAAAATGCAGCTGGTAAGGCTAAGTCTTTAAGTCCAAGTAGTTTCATAATCTATGTGCAGTTATTTTAGGAATGCTATCATGACAACCTAATTAAACTTCCAATAATACCAGCAGGATTCTGATTGCAAAATGGCTCATTTTATAAACACCACTACTTTTATGACTGACAAAAATATGCATGATCAGGTGCCAACTCCTTCACAAATACATATTTTACAACTTGCGCTGTAAATTGCTTGCAAGTACAAAATTCTAAGATGTTCAAGGTCTATGCTCAAACCATAAAATAGGGCACAGTTCATACAAAGATTTCACGGATTTTTTCTGCAAGTTTCATATCCACGTAACTTCACCAGCTTCAGAGGAGTCACTCCAAATATATACATAAATTTACATCTAAATCAAGCCATCTCCTGTAGTGGACCTGGGATTACACACATGATTAAGACAAGTGAAATACAGGACAGAGAAAAGGTAATTGGACCTTGCCTTTTTTAAGACTACAATGTAATTTGCATGTCACAGTGCACATGAAGCACACGCTTCTTCAGAACTTGCTCTTTAAATTTGCTGCCCGTTGTAGAAGTCTCTTTGAAACTGAACGGGCCATGAACTATTCTTTAAGTCTGAAAAAAAAATTTCTCATTGGAAATGTTTGAGAGTGAAAAAGAACATACAGGATATCCCACTATTTATAGCAGTAATCAACCCTAAACTGAAACACTTCCTCATTGTGGTGAGTGCTCTGTTCAAAGTCATTACGGCTTTTCTCATTAAAGTACAAGTTAAAACAAAGTATTGAAAGTTTTAGCTCACTCATGTATGACACAGATACTTTTATAATAAGCACAAGTATTGGGAAAAACCAGTCATTTGGTACTGACCAACTGCCCATGCAAATAGGAGACCTCCTAGTAGTCAGAAGTACTGCCTGCTCTTCTCAGTCACTTCACAGAATCCATTCAAAATCCCAGTCTTCTATTCTTGAGTCATTGGGTTTTTTTGTTTGTTTGTTTGGGTGCTTGTGTTTTTTGCTTGTTTGTTTGTTTCCAGTAAGACCATTTAAAAATAGTCTCAATATAGCAGGGGTGGAAATATATAAATGGAAGTCAGACCTCTCAGTCTTCATAAGTTTAAGACAGTTTTAAAAACCTCTTAAGGAGACATGCCTTCTAGTTTTACTAAAAATGAAGGTAATATCAAATAAAAAGCAAAACTAAGGAATAATAGGTAGAACATTTTACTTTCATCAGACCTTAAGAGTAAAGTATATTAAAAAAAAAAAAAGGTTTAGAATTTCAAGAACAGGAATATAAACATGTATTTTCTATCCCAGAAAAAAAAACATGTGGGTGTTACAGTATTTTGTCATTTTCTCTACATCCACTGGTATGCAACATCAACTTCATGTTATAAATAGATACAGAGATTCCATAAATTCATTCAAATACCAGGGTCTTCTGGCCTCAGGTAAACTGCAGATCAAGGAATCTGTTCTTTGGTAATTGGAGCAGGCTTATTTTCCATTCCAATGCAGGACTGTTAGGAGGCCCTATTAGCCACTGATTTAAGAAAATTACAGCCCCTGTAGACATAGTCTGGGCTACTTCTGTCACAAGAAAATAATATTAGAGGTATAAATGCAAAGAAGTTGAAACTATTCACTCCTGGTGATGGCTATTTCAGAAAAAAAGAAATCCAAACTCTCTCCTTCTCTACTCACTGTTTAATCTAGGTAACACTTGGACTTGTATGTAAAGGTATTTTGATGGATGGGAACATACACAGGGACACTTTCAGTTTAAACAGAGATTTGTGTGGAGAATGGCAATTTAAAGTTAACATGACCTGAAGGTATCCCTATAATAAAGTTTAAAGATTTAGTAAACTGGGACATTACAAAACCCAAAAAGTATTTCTAGATTTTTCATCTTCCCTTTTTCGACAAAGACTGACAGAATATACATATACAGGTTGACATTTTGATTTATCCCAAACAATTTCCATTTTGCTCAGTTTGCAAGTCCTATTGACTAAAATGTAATACCATTCACAACGAAATATTTTCAATAAGTGAAACAATAAGCAAGGAAAACCAAAACTAAGCTCAGAAGCTAAGTGGTTTAAAAAGCCTGGTAACATCTATGTGTGTCTAAGTGTGTCTATAATTTTTTTTTCCATACATTATATATATATAGACACAGACACACACATATATACACTCACGCACGTGCGCACACGCACACACACATTTGTAACCTGCAGTGAAGATCAATCTATTTTCTAATAAGGAACAAAACACATTATTTAAAAATGTGGCTAATTTAACAAAACAGAGAAGAAACCGCTGCTATCAAAATATACAATTTGGATTGCAGACTAGAAGGCTAACAACATTAAAAAAATAGTTTTAAGCAAAACCCCTTTGCTTCTGAATAAGAACAGGTATCAACCTGCTATAGCATGAAGCATCCAAACAAGATTTTATAAAAAGTTTAAACTGTGACCCTTCTTCATTTTTAAAGTTCTTGGCAGATCATATAGTGCGAGCTCTGGTCTCCAAACTGGAGCCCCTTTCATATTTCTCCATCCATACTTCAGGAAATAAATGGCAGCTGAGGATTCAGAATCTCAAGTGAGATTTGTGCTTTACCATATACCTGAAAAAAATTAAAAGAACATGATTACTCTTTTGTTACTTTTATTCTTGGAGAATTAGCAAGCTGCAAACAAGTTGCAATGTCTTACATGCCATATAGCTCTGTATTATGCACAATATTTGTCCCACTAAAAGGCAGTCAGCTAAAAACCTTTGCTTTGAAGAAAATTCATGTTTTCTAAGGCATCACATAACTATAACAGTCAGTTTATTCTGGGAATTCAGATACACAGTTTTGCTGAGACTTTTAAATAAGAAGCCATAGAAAGTCTGATGCTTGGAATTGTTTTGACAATTCCCATAGAATTTTTCTTTTTCAAGTTCACTTGATCGTTCAAGGAGTTAATATTAAAGAAATGCACGGGCTTCTCCTTTTCCTCAGTATTTCTTTAACTACTTCATGAAAAGAAACTTCATTCTTTACAACATGAAAAAAGTATTGCAATGAACTTCCAATTCAGACTGTGTTCTGGACCATGAAGAAGCAGAGTCAGAAGCAATGCTGTTCTTCATAGAGCTGCTGGTGCTGCTCCATCCCTCACTTCTCATAAAACACAGGGTTAGCTATTTGTAAGGACCCCAAGATACTGAAGAATCACCAGTCCAAAACTCATTATGTGCCTTATCATTTTCTACCTCCTTCTACCCAGTGCTGTGGGCTCAAGTACATCAGGACAAGATAATGCTTTGTGGCTCTTTAAGGTAGTTTCTCACCTCTTCTAGACTATTGTCTAGTGAGGTGGAGAGATAAAGGAGAGCTTCTAAGCTCAGAACTGCAGTCCAAGGGGAGGGCTGGGGGAACAAAGAAAAACTCTGCACCACCTACCTTGCTCTCCATTCCCTTCCTTCTTCCTAAAGGGAGCCAGGGAATCGTGGTCCTAACTGATAATTAAGTGTAACTACCCCTCCCTAAATCCATGTATAGTACACTGTATAGTACATTATTACTTATAGTCCATAATAAAGTAGAGAGGTATATTTAACCATATCATCAGGAAAGCTCTAAACAAGCAATATATTCAAGCTAAAATGTTGTTCAGATGTCCAAGTTGTACACAGTTCCCTTGTTGCTGTTACTCTTCATTCCTAGCAAGCATCATAAAAGCACGAGCGCTAAGGGACTTTCAACAGGAAACATACCTGTCCAAAGTCTCCCAAAAGCGTAGGAATACTGGCCTGTCCAAATGCCTTTTGTGGTAGCTTAGTTCTAACACTGTTACGTCCCATTTCTGTACATTTGGATCCAGACGTACTTCATCATATTTGAGATGAAAAGCTTTGACTACAGGAAACAGGAAGTCATTTAGTGTACAAACTCAATGATTTTACAGTGTTTAATTATTAGCCAAAGAGAACCCCCAACCCATCCCTCTTTTTTTTCAGGTAGACTGTAAGAACAAAATAAATGAGCCCATCTCTCAACAAAGTCAACTAGTTAATAAAGGGCACAGAGATAAACATAGTGGTCGGTGGCCACTGTCAGCCTCTCACGCTATTACAGGTGGAAGGGAAGCCCCGATTTTTAGATGCATAGATTCCAGGAGAACAGCAGAAACTCATTGCCAATTCAAGCGCATTTTCCTGGGGAAACAGATGTTCTTTCTGGAAGTCTTTGAACTGTCTAAGAATTAAAGACCAAAGCATTTCTGAGGCCACTGAGAAGGAAGCTTGGCTGTTTCCCCAGGAGTCTCTGTAGAAGACAGAGCAGAATGCTAGTGTAACCCTCAAATGCCACGTGAGGCATTCTGAAAAATGAGTAACTGCCAATTTCCCCCGATCTGGTACTCAGTTAAATATTATAAAACATCAACAGTTATTTTGCTCCTTGAAAATACTGTCATGTGAACTACATAAAGGGTAAGTATTAAGATAGTGAGTATGAAGGTCTTCTTGCAATTCTTGATTTCCTTGGGTAAATCACAGTTTTGACATAATCCAGTGCAAAGTATTTAAGGATTTGTACAATTCCAGTCTGGCAACCAGTTTGATGCATTTTCTATTTTGGGTATTACTGGAGAAGTACAGCACAAGCATTTGACCAGATCTGTGGAAAACAGTTGTTTTTAATGCCATGGTTGTATCTTTTCTGGCATAACACTTCATTATTTTCTTTCACAAAGTCCACCTACAACTTTAGCCAAATGGCTAAAATCAAATCAAATCAGTCCCCTTTACCAGAGAGAGGTCAACCTATAAAATTATACATCTAGGAGCTTTCTGGAAGATTGGTATCTGAAATTAGCGCCTTTTTTTTTTTTTTTTCAATTAAGCAACTAAAGCAGTGATCATCTGTCTTGTACCATTGCCAAATAAACTTCCAAGTTTTGTGAATGAAAACAAAGAATACATACACATTATCTTTGCTATACAATGTTACACGTTATAAAATATTTCCAGAGAAAGCAAATGGATATACTGGGGCTATGCATTTACAAAAAACTGAACACCTGATAGAGCCTCTGCATTAAAGTTAAATGATACTGAGCAGAAGACAATCCACTTCTGAATCTGAAAAAAAATCAGTATTAAAGCACACTGATGTGCTCTATCAGCAAGACCTTTCCAACGGTATGCAAAATTCAGTATTTCCTCAGTAAAGTGACATCATTCAAAATTTCATCTCAAACATTCAAATGCAGGTGCAAAACCAAGCTTGTTTCCTGCATGAACAGTAAACACTCAGGACACGTGAAGAAAAGTAAAAAGAACAATTTGAGAGACTCAACTAACCAAATCCTACATGACATAGCAACTGAACAAATAAAGCCAGTTTGACAGGCTCAGGTCCAATACAAATTTCATGAAGGTATCCTTTCTGGTAAGCTACCTGCTTGTTTTCCAACTATAGTGATAAGCTTTGACTATTTGTTAACCTCTACAGACCCAGTGACTCACATGATTAAATGTAAACTGCAGATGAAACAGTCAACTGTTGCAGATCCCAGAAACCACATTTATGAAGACTATTGAAGGCTATAAATATGGGCAAAGCAATAGCTTCAGGAAAAGGTAAGCATATAACTAGACTGACATTGTGCTCTCTCCATTTACACTCTTTTTATTTTGAGGAGTGATTAAAGTCATTAGGAAAGGCCCTATACATACTCTTAACATGAAAATATTTTAAAAATACTTCACTTTGAAACAACAGAATGCATTTCTAAAATGAAAAAGGTCCATTTCAGTGTATCTTTATGAGTCAAGTAAGAACAGATATCCTTCTTTCACTTGAAAAATGTAAGAGTTCGTACACCTTCAAGAACGAACTATGCAGGCTAACTGCATACATCTTTTGACACGGTAGACTTCAAAAATGTTAAAGCATGTCATAATACCTGTGGCTCTATATACATTTATATATACATAATGTTAAAATGAACAGGAACTAGCATGCAACTACTAGATAGATCACAAATATTTAAGAGCATTTTTCTTGGTTTTGCTTTTTACATTTTTTTTCTCTGTATCTTCATTTTGAAGTGTTATTTTCTTCATTCGTCAGTCTCTTTTGTTAAACTCTCTCGGGTGGCATATTTCTTCTTTTATATTGACCTTCATGCTCTTTCATGCTTTTTCCCTGTCCGTTCTCAATCCTCCCCCTAAGCAACTAATTCTTTTTTCTTGTTCACAGATACATCCTTAGCCTCCTGGCAACTCTTCTGGGTTTTTCTGCTCCTTACCAAACTAGCAAACTTCTCTTTCTGGCTTTTACTTCACATCCCATGTACGTGCACAGATAAAACCCAATCAAACTTGTTTCCCCATCACACTCACAGAAGATGACAGACTGAAACAAGGTAGATTTTGTGGGTTTTTGTTGGGGGGTTATTTTGGTTGGTTTTTGCTTTGGGTTTGGGGGGAAGGGTGTTTTGTTTTTGTTTTTGTTTTGTTTTGTTTTCTTTTTGTGTGCATGCATTGATTTGTTGGTTCTTTTAAATCTGTAGCTCAGGAACTACTGGACACTGTAAAAGAATTCTATTTTCTAAGGCAGGTTCACAATGAAGCAACAGAGAACAGAAGCTGACAGTTTCTTTAGATATTATCGCTCACCTTACAGTCAGAAGGGTGAACTGTGAGAGAGAAGTGCAGCGTGTCTCAATCCATACTGTGTGTAATTGTGATAACTGAAAAAACCTGTTCAGATCTATACAGTAGTAACACCTAGCTCACAGCTTAGAAGTATTTGTACTTTATTAAATGTACAGGTTTTTGTGAGACACCAGATAATATCTGTAAAGCTCTGTAATGAAATACCAGCTGATTAAGCCTCTGTTCAAAATAACAATGAAACCTGAGGACAGTCTGTAAACCTGTTATCTATGAAGTGTTATAATATACATTGTCATTTCAACTTTTTTTTTTTTTTTATAATTTTGAAAGTAAATGCATACCCTAGCTATTTCTGAACCTCTTGGAAAGATGACAGCTCTGAGAGGATTTCCATAAACTTCCACAGGTCAGAAGAACTGCGGAGGGCATATTAGTATTTGCCATCTGTGCAAAGACCTAAACCCCTGTCTTCTCAACCAACCAACAGCACCTTGGCAGTACTCGGAAGTATTCTGCCATAAATATGAACACCCCACAAAGAATAACAAACCCCAAAACACAAACAAAACAAACCCAAACCCTTACTTTTTGCAAAGATATCAACAGGTGATCCATCAGGCAAGAGCCAAGGCCAACCTTTGAACTGCCAGGCAGGACCCTGTACAAACACTGCCACCACACGATCCCTACGAACACAGAAGGAGATGGACACGTTGATGGCCTCGGGCACGTAAAGTACACGCTCTGAAGCGGGCAATATACATTACCATAGTTCCTTATTTTAGTAACAGCAGCATACCACATTGAACAACCACATCTCCAGCACAAATGCTTTTTCTCTGCCACGTGTGAAAAAAACCCCATGTGGTATTTCTGGACTTTCAGCTCCATCCCTTTGCAGGATGCAGTTCAGTTTCTAATGTTGCATTTATAGAAAGTCAAACAATGTTTACGTCTCATCATTGTCACTTTGCTTTTAAGAAGTGCTCCAAGGTTTTAGAGATAATCTTCTATGAGCAACACTGTAAAATGAGATCTATCAACTTAAAAACCATTATTCTGAATGTTAACTTCGAAGAATTTATTAGAAGAAACATCTGCTAAATTTCTGCAACACACGTAATGTATTGTAAGGGTATGTAGCCAGTACCTGCAGTCTACAAAAAGAAATTTGAGAGATGAAACTTTTACATTAATTAGGAAAAACAAAACAAAACGCCAGCCTCTGAGAACAAATTACTTCCTACACATTCTTACCTTTTTCTTGAACATTTACATCATTCAACCTTGGCTCTTATGTACTGCAACAAATAATTACCTCCTTAATCTAATCCTCAAATTTAATTCATTGTAAAGTCTGCCAAAACCCAACTGGAAAAGGATAATCAAGGCAGAATTTTGGTATGATTTTTTAAAATTTGTTTTTTCAAGTCAGACTAAAACTTTACCAGTCGAAAAGATGTTGCTGGTTTTGTAATAGCTAACAAAACCCCTCAGGCAAACAGCAGCAACATGTTAGTGTCTAGATACTAGTATCTGACTTTCTGTTGAATAAAAACAAGCTAAAAACCCCATACCACTTCACTGCTCTGGTCAGAAGCATTTAGGGACCATTGTAGATGGTTCTTAGAGGCTTTATCATTGGACATTTTAAATGGTATTTGATATGTAGAATTTCAAAACCAGAGATTTCTGATGAGTTCAACTTCTCAATACAGAGAACAATTTAGGAACAGTACCTTTTCAAAGTATTCCTCTCCATTAAAATCTACTTTGGAAGTTACAAAAACACCAACAGTGTTGTCACGTGTGTCTAAAACCCTCACACTTGTAAGGAAGAAGTAAAAACGTTGCCCAATTCATTATACCAAATACCAAAAAGATGCTTCTCTGGAACTTTCCTACTCAAAGAGAAATACGGTTTCGCAGCATTAACGAAAGGGCTAGAGACAAAAGAATCCGTTTCCAGCTTTTTCTTAAAAGTAAAAGCTCTCTATGACACCCTTTCCCCAGCTGGGGCTCTCCCTTCACCATTGACTCCAATTCAATGAATCTGATTGAACTGTGATTTCAGGATTGAATCTTCTATGTTTGATGTGTTTTCTGTATCTCAAACTATTAAAAAAGTTAGACTGTCAAATGCTGAAGGCCTGAAAATGCATCTCCTCAATAGGCTCTCATTCAGAAAGCAGAGAATAAAGGAGCATTTTCCTCTCAACATCTTTCAGGGACTTGCAGGCTGGAGTGCCACAAACCAGAAAAACAATATGAATATTCCTGTTTGAATTTCTCCAGCATTGCAGGCAAGCCTAATAAAATAAGTTGGTCTGCTCACACTGCTAAAATGTATATTAATAAATTAAAAAATGCAATTTCTGAAGACTTTTAAAATAAAGTTTAGTTTCATATTACTTTCACCTGAAGAAGAGACTTCTATACAGTTAACAAGCAAATCCATTCTTATATCCATATCTTTACTTTTTAGTGAATTTAGTAGCATTTTATTGATCCCCTCCAAATTCTGCATTCTCCTGGTTAAGAAATTCTATGAAGGGGAAATCTACTTTACCAGTCTTGTGGCATAAGTTTCAGAGGTTGGTCGACTACTCGATAAGGTACAGTAACGCTGACTGTAGTTCCCCCAGGCTGCATCTGGTCCTTCCTCCTCTGTATTAAAGTTTCATTCTCTCGTTGACAGCCTTGTTTCTTCTTTTCATCTGACGGCACAAACCTTGGGGAATAAAGAAACATTCAGTAGAAAAAAGTAATTTATTTGATGTAATCAGCAAGAAAAGTAACTTTATCAGAACTCTGCATCATTGGCAGTTTACTGAAGCCATCTCATTTTCAGTATGCCAAGTCGTCACCACTCATTCAGAATAGCAAAGAATAGAAGAGTGATTTTTTCATAAGCCCTTATGATAAGAATAGGTGCACTAAAAGGTCCTCTGCCCCTCAAAACTACAGCCTGACCCCTTCTTATACATTCACGGCACCCATTGCTGTCCTTACCCAACACATTTCCAGATGAGACCAGATCACAAACGCCTAATTGTCCATAACTCATTTTTAGTGATCAAGGGTAACATGGGGAAGCTTGAGCACAAAAAACCAATTGTTTCATGGAGAAAATTTTAGAGCTCATGCTCTTAGAGCCATCAGAATTGTATTTTCTTGAGAAAGCTAGGGTTTTTGGTCAAAAAGCTTTGAGTCATGTTTTATTTTTTTGGATGGTGATGATTTCACATTATGAACGATTTGTCTGGTTATTATGAAGTATGATAATATCATTTGGAATTATTTTCTATTCTAAATACCTTCTCTGATAGAGAAAGTGCTTGGAAAACAAGGATAATATCATCCTTATTGCTTATGTAACCTCTGTAAGACAAAAATAAATGCTTAAGATGCAACCTCCCCCCAATTGAATTACAGATCTTTTATTTTTTTCACCTTAAAACAACACAGTTCCATTTTGAAGGTCTCTTCTTTAAGGTGATAACAAAATAAAACACACAGAACACTTCTCAAAATTGACATAAATGGGACAATAGCATAAGCATTGTAACTGATGAATCTCAGTGGAAAGATCAAAAAATCATGCATTTTACAGAACTAAAACTATGTCACAGAAACGTAAATTGATGTGACTGGTACCACCTACTGGGCCATCGAAAAAGGAGAGCCCAGACCCACGTTCTCCTAGTGCTCCCTTCAGAATCACCCACCCGCACTACTAACACTGCTGCTGACAGTTAATTTCCAAAACTTCTGAAAAAAACACCATTATGTTTCACTTCACTGCAAAAGTTATCAGGAATATTGGTGTTACATTTTAAAAACACAGTACTCTACGTAATTGGTAATATTTCTCTTCATTATAGTACATATGGTGCTTTTTAAAAGTTTATTGCTTTTTTTTTTGCAAAGTTGTTTTCATAGTTTCCATTTGCTTTCCTTCATCTATTTCTGTTGGAATACTAAAACAAATGTGAAAGTGCTTAAACAAGCATGTGTATTTCCTACTGTAGGAAAAATAGAAAACAGGAATAAAAAATGCATTATAAGGAAAAGTTCATTATTCCTCAACTTGAAAATCCTAGGTTTTGCCACCATCTCATATCCAATGAGAAAATGGCATTTTGTGGGGAGGGGTGGGGGTGAGGGTGGTGGAGGGGGGTGGAAGCCCCAAAACACATTTTAATGTTACTGTGTGGTAACTGTCAATAAACCTTCAAGGAAAATTATTTTCCTTTCCTAATACAAACCCACAGATGAAGCCCCCTTACACTCTTCATGATTTAAAAGTTTTTCAAAACCAAGAAGTCACAACCAGATATGTGTGTGCCCATACATATACAACTGCACTGGAACATTATAAAAAACAGCTGCAAATGAGTAACAATTGTGGACTGAAGTTGACTGGTATTGCAAATACAGACAAAACATAACAGATGTGAATGATAAGCTATAAATAAAATTATGCTTATTTATTTAGTAAATGTAAAACGCCACCGTTCTAAAGAAAACAAAGAAAAGCCCAGCCATACAGGATACACCGGGGGGGAAAGTACATTTAGGCCACCTAGAATATTATTTTAAAAGTACTATGAAGACAGTAATTTTACCAATAATTGAAGGAAATAGAATAACAGCTAATATTTACATACGTTTTGTCTACCAGAACCAACTGACACATACAATTGAGCGCTACACACAAACTTTCAACATAGTTCTATTACTTCATACTTTGGAAAAATCTATCAAATGTGACATCAGAATTAAGTATTTTTAGTCAAGTTACTAATTTAAAAACTTGAAAGTGAAGTGCAGTTTTAATCATGAGCATAGCTATTGGCCTGTCCTGCCAACATGTTGCAGGCTTTGCTTTGCCAATAATTGATAGGATATTTTGTAATTTAAAATGAGGATTTTCTTGGTGGTCTTGAGTTTTTAAGAAAACCATTCATGAGTCTCTCTTCAGTCATCAGAACTAAGGAATCTGGGCTGGAAAGATAGTAATTTTAAAAAAAAAAAAAAAAATTAAAATTACAAAAAAAAAAAAGCCAACCCACAACCAAAAACCACCCCCAAACACCTTTTACCCAAGTGGCAAGGTCTAGATGAAAAGCCAGGATCACCTAAAATGGTGAAGAGCTTGAGAAGAATTTTGCTCTTCATTATATGTCCCATGTACCAAGTGAGAACAAACGAACAGAATACACAAATAAAAACCAAACAGCCATACATCCATTACAGTGATAATCAAATACTCATATGAACAGCAATCTAAAAGGTCACATGCTATATTTAATTTATAAATGTGAGAAAGCAAACATTTTAAATGGAAGCAGGAAACGTAGCCACCCCTGCCAAATTAGAAAAGCAGCAATATTGCTTTTCTAGAGAGTCTAACAATTGCATCACTATATTGGAGACCCCTCAAATTTGGCTGAAACAGACACTCTCATGTCTACTTCTAGCTTTAAATGTTTCTGTGTTTAAGAATTCATTCCAACCCTGCTTTACTGACAGTTTCTCTCCATTTCAGCTGGAAACTGGTACAGCCATAAAGGCACCATTCAGTTATGCCCCATGTTATCTTCCAGACAATAGCTTCAGTGTTATATTACTGCAAAAGCCTGAATGTTTTTGAATGCATTTCTCTAGAACAGAACATAGAATATCTTGTTCCCTGAATTTTATGCAGAAAAAAATATGACAACGTTCACATGGAACAGCAGAGAAGATGACTGTCATAAAGAAAGAACTGAAAGAAATGCTTACAGATATGTGCACAGTCAGAGTACAGGAATAAATGTAAACTTACAGAAAGTTTATTAAATATATATTTGTATTTCTAGGAACCATCGATTCAGTAAGTATAATAAAAGCTACAAGAATCAATAGAAATTACTGTATGATTATAAACATAATCACAGCTTACTCTATCACTACCTGGACATAAAAGACAAGCTTAACAAATCTGAGTATGAAAAGAAACACTGAAAAAATCCATCTTCTCTTGGGAATTATTTGAATTATTTGCCACAATACTTGAGCTAGTGGATCAACTACACATTTGTACTTGACACCTTTTTTATCTTCCAACACACCAGAAATTTGTTCTGACACCTGACTGTGCAAGAGCTTACAATTTTTTGTTGCTTCTTTAGATTACTATCCCCTGGGTAAAAAACAAACAAACAAAAACAACAAACCAAACAAAAAACCAAAACACCAGCAAAAAAATCCCCAAACCACAAAACCACACACAAACCAAAACCTCTATCTACTTAGAATCCAATTGTACACCCCTACTAGAAAATGAGTAGCATTCAATTCTCTTGCTGTTAATTGCCAAAATCATACAACCACATAAAAACTGGTGCACTTTCACGTTACAAAGACAGTAGAACCCTTTTCTAAGTTAACAGACAGGAGTTTGAACAAGACCAAATTATGGGAAGTAACTGGTAAGATACTATCCATTAAACTGCCAGAGCTGCTCATGCCCAGGCTCTAAACTCAAATCAATTGCTAGCATTAACTTTGAAGTATTTTCACCAAGGTCAGGTCAGCACTTTCCTGGCCCAGAACTCAGGCATACTGAAAAAAGCCACAACAAAGAGTAACACAACTCCAATGCTGGACAGTAACAGAGATCATTGTAATACATATTTGATTGTGTTTAAAACTGGTGACTTATTTTTACAGCACTCTCAATTTGTTTGTTAGATTACAATATCAAAACCTTCATACACCTATTTTTGCAAGAAACTAAAGATTTTTTTTGTAATACATCATCCCTGAATCTTTCAGACAGTTTGCTCCATCTCAAAGATAGATAAATCTGCCTGGCCACATATGGTGAAACATATAATGAGTAAAAGTATCATCATAATAAAAATACATAATCATCGTTTAATCATTTACATCTGCCTGATAATGCCTGTGTCGCTTTTGTTCCATGTAAAGCAGAAGCATTGCCTCTGAAAAGCCTAACTTCAGATATTCTTAAATACTTTAGTCTGGAAAGTCAGATTTTACACACCAATTATGATAACTAGTGTTGCATTCAGATAGTAAATAAAGTATTGCCAATTTGATTTTAAATTTATCATATCTTTTTAATATTTAGAAGTTCTCCATTTTCATCATGTACTTGGCTCCTTAAAAAAACCTTCCAAGAAAAGGTTATCAAGAATATTTGCATATTATACAGCATGTGAATGATATATATTACAATTATATATAGAAATGGCTGCCAAAATCTAAGTCCCAACAAATATATCCAACGTACAAATCGGATGTTTTAAAATATTTATATCTTAAACCAGTAACATGCTTCCATTTAATCATTATACACATTTCATTCTATTCATGATAGCTTTCATGCTTTCCATATTCTCTACCTCAAAGAAGAGCATAACGTTAGTGATGAGTTATAGATGCAAAGCATCACAAAAACCAGCCAAATTTGGCAAAAAAAAAACCCAAAACCCACACTACAGAGCTATGAGAAATCTTATTAAAAATGCTGGTATAACTAATAAGTTTCTTTCAGTCCTTGACAATAGAGTTTAATGCTTACCATAACACTAGAGGAAGACTGTTCTGTTTGTTTTTACAACAAATAACCTAAAATATCTGCCAGTGATACCAGAATTACTTTTTTCTCACATCTCAAGGAACAGTGTGCTACAGTCCAGTTACTTATAAAAAAAAAAATCTAACATTCTAAACAAAAACTATCCTAAAAGACAGAGACTCCCAGCTATGACCATCAGTTTTTAAGTTGTTTGATTTCTAATTATAATTTCAGCTTTGTTCCTTGTTTTAAGAAGCATATAAATGGAGAGAATTACAAAAGTGATTTTATTTATAAAACCTAAATACTGATGCTTTATTATCACACACTTCACAGAACTGTGCTGCCTCAGGTATCAAGCATGGAAGAAAAAGTTGCTCTTGTAAATAGCCCATGTCACACGTGTATCACAGCTTCCATACCAAACAATCCTGTGGGCTTCATTCTTCCAGGGGTCTCCTACATTTCTTAGCAGTCTCCTCTGCAATGCCTCTTACTCTTCCAGCTCCAAAAATCTATTTCCTTTGTGCTATATCATTGATGTCCTCTGATTGCTAATACAAACAGGCTGACTATATCTAGAAATACAAGAAATTCAGATCTACCTGAATCTTCCTCAGCAGGCGTAAGAGAGGGAGTATGAATTTGTGTGTGTCTTTTCTATCTGGACAGTATTTCCTTATTCCAAAATTTGTGGCAATGACATGCGTCTTCCAAATCCCTACTGTTCTGTCAAATTTAGCTGAAAGTGAGGAATGAGTTAAAGAAGGTGGTGACTTAGAGGCAGAAATTAGGTAAATCATCTTTCCTTGGAAAAGCATCACATATCTATCAATCACACACTACATCAAGGCTAGTTTGACACTCTGCACACCTGAACAGCAAAAACAAACCCCGCAGCCATTCGTAAACAAAGTGCTTGAATAAATTTGAAGGCAAAAAAATAAAAAATTAAAAAAGAAAACCCAAACCATGCATGCCAGGTGGCATATTTTCTAGAAGACTGCCAGAACTGTCATGGCTAAATTAATATTTTGCTCTTCTGAATTCTGCTGTTGCACACTGATTTACTAACATACCTTGCTACTTCAGCTTGTGCTTCATACTTGTTTACTACATCAGTGTCCTCCTTTGAACCCTTAAACTTAATTTTTAATTTATTTTCTTTGGGGGATCATGTTCTTTGCACTCTGAACAACCAGCTTCCTCTTGGGGTAAGTCTTGAGAAGTCAACTATACCTCCACCCAGTGGAGCTGAAAACAGTGCAAGCCTCCTACCACAGATATACTTAGACATGACATATAGTTGCTTAATTCCATTATAGGTACTCCTGTACCAAAAAGTCACAAATTACATAGATGTACAATCCACAGCTTCTAGTTGTGAAATTTTTTTCTTAGACACAATAACCCACATAAACAAGCATCATCCTCTGTCAACACCATTATATCAGTTCAGTAACTGCTTGTACATTAAAATATAATGTTAAAAGCCAGCCTATTCTCCAATTAAGTATTTCAGAAGAGGCAATAGGAGTCCAGTATGCTTACAGATCTTTGATGATATGTGGCAGTAATGTAGGAACTAGAAATAGCTGGAGATCAGAAGGCATCTAGTACCTCAGAGCACAGTTTAAAGAAATGCTAGAGTAACTCCAATGAAAGCTGTAGCACCACAATAAGGACAGCCTATTTTTAAAGAAAAAGAGCATGCAGTCTCATAAAGAAGCACTTCACCAAAGTGCTGAAGGTGGAAGAACAAGGGCTCCACATTGTTTGAACATACAACTGCAGACTATCTATAACATTCATATTTCTTTGTGAAAATGACTGCCAGTTTCAGAAAAATTAACTGGTGTTAACTAATAAGCAACTCTCAATACCATGATCTGTTGGACACGGAGAAGGATGGTGGTTGTTTTGTTGTGGTGTTTTTTATTTATGTATTTGTTTGTTTGGGGATTTTTTTGGTTGCTTGGTTGGTTTTTTGATTAATTTTTTTTTTTGTTTTACTATAGTAGTGACTTTTATCTTACCATGAAGAAAGTAATTTGCAGTTTTGACTGTATTCAGCCATAACAAATCTTAAAATCATGTGGGATGCAATAAACAAATCTTCGCAACTTCAAATGAATTTGCATGAATATCTGTTTTATAAAAAATAACCACTACAGAGATTAGAAATGGTACTCTAAGACTTTTCCCCCCAGTCTGCCCATTTGGCCTTGAGACCACAACTGTGTAAAACCTCTGAAAATAGCAGGAAAAAGGAAAAAACTTTTTGAGAGGTATTGATTTCTTTTTATACTCTAGTCTGTAAAACTAGCTTGTCACAAGACAGTAGATAGCCTCTCTTGTAGATTTTCATACTAGTATACCTTCATATCTGAAAACATTTCTTTTAATACAGTATGTTCTAATCAGCTACTTACTTCAAATCTTGCAGAAGGTCCTTTGCATTAAGCATTGTTATTAAAGAGGTCGTGGCTGCAGGAATAATGATTATGGGAGTTCGAGATCCTGTAAAGATAAAGTTACATTTGCCTAGGTTGTTTTGTTGTTGTTGTGGCAGTGGCTTTGGTTGTTGGCTTTCTTTCCCCACCCTTTTTTTTTTTATTAAAAGGGACTGTAAATAAAAACACCTTTTACCTAACAGATCAAAATAATGGAAAAACATTCAAGGAAAATTGAAGTACGTCTTTTCTAAATGGCAGGTTTTCATTCACAGGAAAAAGTGAGTCTCCAAATATGGGTAGGACTCAATTAGCAAAAGATAATGCTGTCTGCATTCCACCACTTGTTTCTAGTGTTGCTTGTGGTTCCAACAAAAGAATGCATGGGCAAAATTCACATAAAAATGGAAGGGATCGTAGAACTAAAACTGACTCACCTTTTTTCTGGTTGGGAGGTGGTCTTGCTTGAGAAACTGAAGAAAAATAGAAAATATGGTAGAATGACTAATACATAAATACAAATGTCATTGTAAGGTAACATTTCAATATTTTTAGTTGCTGGAGTGAACAGAAGTGTCACAGACACAATACACAAAAATCGAAGAAGAGATTTATAATTTGGGTCTCTATTAAGACGACAGCTTTTGGCTGCTTGAAACAGATGTCAGGACAGTTGAGTGAATCTCTCCTGATTTTACTGAAGCTAGTCATCCTTCTATCCTTCAAAAAGGTCAGGGGACTACAGCGTTGAACAAAAATTGCCAGTAATCTTGAGAAAAAGCTGCTTGTAGATCTTAAGTTCAATAGTGCTGAACCAACAGGAAACTGTTTCACAAGAAGCTAATCTTTACAGACCCTTTCCTTTTCCATTAGTAGTAGTTATTGTACATGGCATATATAAGTTTTAGCTACCCTTAACACATGCACAACTTTCAGCAATGAAAACCTGAATTTCAGGCTTACTCCGGTTAATTTTGGATTGCAGTTTGAGCTATGTGAGCTCTTCAGGTGCTTGAAGCAATGAAGCATAACGGATATGGTAGCACTCAAGCAACAAAAAAACTCCAAAAAGCCAAAAAAAACCAAACTCAAACCCAACCAAACCACTAACATCCCCGCCAAAGAATTCCCCTCCTGTCCCCTATTCCCCCCAGTAAAATGTTTCCACTTCAGTGTTCCAAGTTGTGACCTTCTTAATATGGGAAATATTTCAGTCCAAAGTTGCAAAAGCACATGTTTCATCAGTCTGGTGTTATTACTGGATAATCTGGCTTCCTCCAACAAACATTCTATAGTTCAGTTTTCAGGTGTCCTAGCTTAAGAACTATTGTGCTTCATAATTATCATCATTTGTTTATCCTAATTCACAATATCAGAAAATTGTGAGTAGTAGTAAGATTGATGCTGACTAACTCAACTGCTACTACGCACGACAAGTTTCATTAATTGACTTCCAATTTCATAGCATCAGCTCGCTCATGTTTATTTATGACCAACTGTTTCAGAAACTTCCTAGAGCAGTATAAATATTCACAACACATAGTTGCCATTGTTGAAATATTGAGACCATATCCTTAATTATCTTTTCCTGACACTGTCAGACAGACATAATTGGCAACACTACATTGAACTACATGAACTTTACCTACCCAATGCATTTTTTTTTTTTTTTTTTAAATCTATGATCTCCTTAATGTAAAAAAGTTCCTTAAATATATGGGTAGTACCTGCTGCCCTAAAAACCCCCAAACAACAACAAAAAGAGGAAAAAAGCATCTGTAAGACATTTCATTGCTGTATCAAGAAAAGTTAGTAGAATAGGTAGTACTGCAGAAAGGTGCAGGGGAAAAAAAAAAAAAAAAAGGTAAATTAAAAGCACTTCTCACTTGTTACAGTTAGAATTGTACAACTGTTTTGTTCAATTCAGCTAATGCTTTTCCATCTGCAAAGCAGCATCTTCCTGGAAATCACATATTTTAAATGATTTTACTGCTGAGAAAGATTTTTCAGAACTTTCTACCTGTTGTAGGATATTTTGTGGTTTGGAAGATTTTTTTTTTTTTTTTACTGAGGCAGTATATACTTTCTTCAGACTATACCTCTCTCTCTTACTCTCTTCAACTTAAGTACAGAGGCAAGATGATGCCTAGGATTAGCCTCAGAGAAGGGCAAGATCAGTATAACCTATACAATGCAAAATAAAAAATACACTTCTGCCAGTTAAAGCCCATGAAGTGAGTAGGCAGTTGTGACAACTCAGTCAGGTTTCTTTTCTTGCCACTTCTACCCTTTTCATACTGCTGTCTGTCAACACCACTGGCATTATTATGCTTAACGGGGCTAGTGAGATAAGTATGACAGGCAGCATGACCTTTCCAGTACCAAAATAACTAAACAGAAGAATCTGTACACAACAACATTTAGTTATGCTGGGAATATTCAATACTAGAACAGATTTTTTTTGAAGAATCATTTTTTATTATACTAAGTCTTAGCATTAAATCTTACTAATAAATCTCAAGAAATAAGCAAGGCACACATTGAAAGCATTTAGTAGTCTCAACAAAATATACAGTACTTGAGCAGTACTTCTATGAAAAGTATATTAAAAAGTAGTTTTGTTTCAAAAAAACTCAGAATGTCCCCTTTCCAGTACCTTGATAAAAATAATAACCATCATCTTGTTCTTAAATAACACCTTTCACTTGAGACTTTCTTCTACCAAACCAGAAATTCTCACAGTATGTAAACTAGATGCAGATAGGCACATGGCTGTTTAGAAACACTGATCCTATCATACACTGTCTGTACCTCTTACATTCTTAAAAACTCTAAGGGTTCCTCATTAAAACAAAACCAAACATACCTAATTCTATCTTTGAATCTCAAATCAATCTGGCATACAAAACTGACTTGGTAGCTGAAATCTACTAACTGGGAATTAAAAAGGCAGTTGAGGATTCTGGCCCCATTACAAATATCTTATGTGCTAAGAAGTGTGAAGAAGTAGTAACACATTCAGAAAAAGACTTATTTCTGAAACATTAATAGCAGAAGTAATGACATATATCTTTCTGAGATTAGCTTTTCTATTTAGGTTGTTTCTCCTTGGAGTATTAACCAGCTCTTATCTCTATATCTGATCTGGCATTTGTGAGCTACAAAGCCGACAACCAAGAAGTCAGTTACTTTTTAATTTCACTAGTGCATCCTCTCAAAGGGCTAACTGGGCAACACTAAAAGAATGAACCCAAACCCCATGGTATAACATGAAACAAAAAATTACGTGTAATTTCCAATGCCTATGCAGTTAAAAGGCACAAAAAAACCCCGATCTCCACTTCATCCTTCAGCTAACTGAAGAGAAGCACAAACGATAGCAGGCTACCTTACCTGGTCGTGGTACAGGCTGTGCCGCTGGAGTTTGTGTTTTTCGAGCAGAAGCACCTTCCTTTTAAAAAAGAGAAGAGGTAACATTAACAGCTGGCCTTCTTGTCAGGTACATGTTTTTTTAAATATAGAGTTACAGAGGGTATCATGAAAATGAGGGCAATATGTTTCCATTAAATAGAAGAAAGAAGATAATGAAAATATTCAAAACTCTTTTCAGACATGGAGAGGACAGACCACCTCATAAGCTTTTACGGGCTTACAATTTAACCATCAAAAAGCAATAAGGAATTTTTTTTTCTATACTCAAATACATTTTTTTATTTATAGTATTGTTTCATTTTACCTATGATCACTTTCACAAGGTTTAGTAACGTAAATGTAAGCAATTTGCAATAGAAATTGCGAAAGAAGATCTGCTTATGATCTGGATGGAAAACTAGGACCAAAAACTTACAATGCATTCCTGTCTTGAAGAGTTTCAGTGCCCAGGAATAGCACTCTCATGACAATTAGTTCTGCTCATGCCTTATCCAATTACCTTAATGTAACCAACAGAAGACCTGTACTACTATTTATTCTTGTTAACTCTGCAGAGTCAACACACTACGTAAGAGAACAGTGAGGTCACGCATGTCTGGTTTCAAAGCAACATTTAATTCCTGCAAGAGCAAATTCTGTTTGCAGTTAATGCTGTGCAACCTCACTGAACAAAACATATATCAATAACACGGTACAAAAAAAAAAAGCTATCTATTCGAGCCACTTCAATTTGCAAGGCTGACAGAAAACCTTTTAACATGAAACCATGAATTTTATCTGAAAATTATTTAAACGCTATGTGAAGCATATCCTACAACCGTGAGACACTCAGAAAGGTCAAGGATCCCAGTCTGGAAAAAAAACTGTTGGAAAGGACTCCAATATGGCATTATCACATTTGTATGTCCATGCATAAATAATAATATGTGTTGTAATTAAAAATAAAAAAACCCTAATGAACAGGGGACTACAGGCAAGCAGCATTAAATCCCACAGTTTAAATAATACGTAAAGAAACTAACTGCTTTTAAGTTTCCACCATGGATGTTAAACTCCATTTTTATCTCAAGAAATGTGAAATACGAAGAAGAGAAGATCACTTGATAAGCCCTTTACTGAAAATGTCTCTTCCCTGTTTAGTCAAAGCCACCCATGATCAGTGACAACAGTCTGGAGCTGGCATTTGGTGCAGCATGCAGCTTTTCTAACTTTTACAGTCAGTAATCTCCTATTCATCTTCAGTATAAAGATTTAACCCCCAAGTGCAAGAAACAGATTACTCCTGAATTTACCCATAACTCTTTTCTGTTTATTAAAATACCAACATCTGTGAAGAACACTTGATTCAGGAACTATTGTAAAACTTTTTTTAGCTTTTGAAAAAACGTATTTTTGCCAATATCTTTTCATAATAATTACTAAGAAAACTATAAAGGGTACCATACACTAAAGGAAAAACATCAGGACAGGCTGACTACATTTGAGAGAAGACTTGAGAATGAGAAACAGCAGCTTTCTTTTAACCAAGAGAGTGGAAATAAAATATTTGGCATCTGTGTCTATAGAAAAAGGTAATTTTCTGTGTGAAAATGCTGTTTCTGTGGTGTAGTAATTACACATTTTGTAGAAATATCAAGAATTCTCCTGTATCATTTCCTTAAATTTACAGCCCTTTATGAAATGAGGGGTGGGGGAAATCAAGCTAAATGTTGCTTCCTGCAATGCTAAGTTTTGTGTTTCTAAATCCAATTCAGTTTGCTTGGATGCTTGCTTAACTATTACTGTCTGTGGTCCTACATGTCCATTCTTCTTTTGTCCCCTGAAGAATCAGTAATGCAACTTTTCTGCCTCAACTTCCACTTATTCAGTGTCTCCAACGTCTCAAACATACCCTGCAGGTCCCACAGCAGCTGCAACGAAGGGAAGGAATCAGAAAGTGCTTCACAGATTCTAGAGTTCCTGGAAATTCTTGGAAAAACTTATAACCAAACACTTGTTTTGGTTTACATGTGACTTGTGCTTGTGATTTCTCTCTTTACCAAAATGTCCATAAAGCACCAGTATATACATAGAATGAAGCCTAACAAAATAAAGTGGCTACACTGATAAACAGGAAACTTAGTGCAGAAGCCTAAAGCAAAAGGCAGACATCAGAGAAAATTGCACTGAAACAAAAAATCCAACCCTGAACCAAATAAAGCAGCACACTAAAAAAAGTCACATGAAAATACCTGATCATGGTATGAAAAAAATTATATTAGGTATAAAATAGCTACCACTTCCATGCCTATGACCTGTTTGTAAGAACTATTTCTGAAAATCAATAAATAATGGAGGTCACAGCTTTTAGTTCTGTAAATCACTGCCTTAGACTGTGATCATTTCATGGATGAACCTCAGCTCACAACTCCTGATATTCTGGTATCTTGGCACAGAAGCTCAACTGTCACCTTCTGAAGGCATAATATCTATCCTTTGTAACTCATTTACGTCTCTTCTCTCTTTATGATTATCACCAACCTAATCCTCTAACCACCCTCTGCTAAGTAAAATCTGCAGCCAATGTAGCAAAAGAAACTCTGATCAGTATGTCAAGACCACATTTCTTAAATGGTTTGTAAGTAAGCAGAAAAGCATACTATTAGGATGAGGAAAACCCATAAGTACAGAGCAGTGATGGTTGACAACATACACTAATCAGAAAAGAAAATCTGCTTTCAATAAGTAAGTCATTAGTTAGCAGGAAAATTTTGCTGACATTTCATATTGTCCTGAAAACAAAAGATGCTAAGTTTAGACACAAAATTAATGCTTTTTAAAAGCATTCAGATAGCGATCTAAGTTTTTTCTAGGATAATGTACTGATTTATACAAGCTTTGTTTACAAGACCAGTATAACCACCAAGAACTAGATGCTAGGATTTCTTCCAGAGGAAAAGAAAAATGACAAGGGTAAACTTCATAGCTGGTTCACTCAACTACACAAGGTACATGCTGCTGGTAACTTTTAGCCTGTTAGCTACTTGGAAGCAAATTCTTGTTTGCATGCTTTAACTCCTCATAAAAACAATTGCTTATTTCTCAGTGAGCACACAGTAAGATATTTCAAATCTTCTAATGTGAAGTTTTTAATGCAAAAGTTACACTTAAGTAACTAGCACACTGCAAATTCAAACTCCAGTTAGAGGAGCTTTTGTTTCGGTACCTGTACCCTAAGTATCAGAAGCAGCAGAAGTCACTGTTTAGCTATTTAAAGAACATTCATTTCCTCAAAGTTTCTGAACACTTAGTGTTGCTTGAAGATGGCGTTCCTAATTCTTATGCATAAGCCTTTTGAGTCTGTTAAGGAGTAAATTATGAATATTCATAAGTTGAAACTAATTTAGTAACAAAACCATGTAATTTGAAAAATACAAATCTTCTTTAGGACGACCACTTAACATGGTATTTTAATCAAAAACGTGTTACTCGGTTTAGTTTTGCTCATTTACCACAGAAGGTTATATATAGTTTACTTATGATTTACACTGAACACATGAGTATTTAACCATTCATAAGCAATAAAATGACAGAATGAAATCAGGAAAACAGAACATTCTGCTTCATACCTTTCTGAATTTCACAGCATCATTTACAAATACACCACTGTATATACTTTTCAGAGGAATTCACTCCATTTCAGTACTAATGTTTCCTATCCTATTAGACATTTACAAAACGTCTGCTCAAGAACTGGTTTCAGTGTATGTGTTCTCCTATTTAGCATTGTCCTACCTAAAAATACTGGGTTCACAAACCAATGCATGAATAGAAAACAAAGTAGTGCACATGGAAAAAAAATAAAATAAAATAAAAATAATCCAGATTCCCCACTTACAGTCACACAAGGGAAAAAACCTCACACCCTGAAGAACAACTCACTTCTATTATTATTGTGTGCCCTAGTAATTAAGCTCTTAGTGTGTTCTTCTCTTCCCTCATTCCTTCATACAACTTCGATGCTTGTCTTAAAAATTCACACACTGCTACATGCTCTGCTAAGTTTCATAAGTGTAAGCTGTGCTTACAATAACAAGAAGCCTTAGGTCTATTGCTTCAAGTGCCTTAAATTGATCTATTTTGGCTTACTTCATGCTTTTCATTTCACGTGTACATTCATTTTCCCTTCCCTGATTCTACATTACACAGGCAAGTTGCAATATATTATGAAGAGGCAAATTCTTTTTACCTTGGAGAACAACAAAATATAGCTATTAAAAATTTCTTTTTGTGGCTTTGCAAGATACAAATAACAGGCCCAAACTCTACTTTGTTGCATATGCACTATCCCAACTGCTTTCTTTGTAGGGATCCATACAATCTGTAACATTTTGACCTTCGAAAAAATGTTAAGAGCAATAGATAGAATCGATAGTTTGATGCCATCTTGTGGCTTTTTTAATTTAGCAAATCTAATTTCTATCTTGTTGCTTTGTATCATTTAAATTAGTACAAGCTCTTTACCCAAAAACCTAAACTTTTTTATTTTGGTACCTTGCATGGTCCTGTACAGAAGGAGTACAAGTAAAAAGTAACATTTGATTCTACAAGAGTATCAGCAACTGCTTTCATATAAAGCAGCTTTTGGCTTCACCATCCATGATGGAAGACAATTCAACCAAAGACTGTTCCATTCATAAGATGAAAAAAACCTGCAACACACAGATCTCAAAAGAGAAGAAATAAATACGTGTGGATGGTAAGCTTGTAATATTCTTTTTAAGAACAGACTTAATCTACTCATTTTAATTGAGAGAAGAGACTGCATGAATTCTTTTTAATTACCAGCAACTTTGCTGTCATTGCCCAAGTCATTTCGAGTATTGAACTTTTGAGAATTCTAGTAAAGCCAGCCTGAAGAACTACGGCAAAATCTAAACCAACTCTAAAGTTAAAAAAAGTATTATTTTTCTTGAAATTAAATCTTGTACACATCAATGTATGACAAACAGCTAAACCAATGGGACGACTTCAAAAATA